CGGTGATTTATTCGCGCAATCTCTTGGGTGCGTATACTTACCAACGCGATAACCGGCCTTTTTCGCTGATCGTCCCTGCTATTTGTGTATGTGTATGTGGCTCGGTTGGGTAATGAAAGAAATAAAGGCCTCCCTTGCGCCAATACCCCTGGGGGCCTCGGATTGTGTTGTTACCACCTTGGCGGTATACATTTGATCGATCGATTTGCACGCACCTATACGCACCGATCGGAATCCAAAGATACAAACCCACACGCGACAATTGGCGATTGACGAGGTCCGAAAGAAAAAAAAAAAAAAAAAAAAAAAAAAAAAACATCGAGACACAATTGCCNTCGATCTCCGCGTAACGATGGAAATCGGCCCTAAAAATCGTTATATCTCAAATCACCTTGTGCCAAACGAACTGTCGAAGGAACACATCTTTTCACTCACACCCCTTATTCCATGTTCATAGAAAAGAAAAGAAAAAAAAAAAAAAAAAAAAAAAAAAAAGACTAACAGGGACTCCTGTTGTTGTTCCATCAAAGCATACAAAACGAGTGGAGCTTTTGTGCGAGAAAGAAAACTCATTAAATCTGAGAGCTAAAAAAAAAAAAAAAAAAGAGAAGCGTCTTGGGGACGCGCACGTGTGTTTTGGCTTCGTTATTAATAATCAGCGCGTGTGCTCGCGTGGGCGTCTTGTATACATACACACGTATATGTATGTATGCACGAGCGCGTGATGATTAGACGGAGGAGGTGGAAGTTTTCGAGGCCGCGTCATCGATGAACCCCGAAAATAGACTTGGCGAGGTTGGCGTGTATATATAACCGCTTGTCCGGACTTTCTTTCTTTCGAAGCCGTGTATTATGTCTTTTCTACATGCAGGGGACTTGTTAACCATATATGCGAATGATTATAAAAAAAAAGAAAAAAAAATCTCTAACGTATTGATAAAAAAAACAAACAAAAGAATTATCAGGCGGAGTTTCCTCGGCACTTTCACGAGGGGGCAACAGAAACATTAGCGTGGGGGGGGGGGACGAAAATAGACTCTCACATCCTACACTGTTGCAACACAATATTATATTGCATACACACCGGCACGCGCGAATTGCAAGGAGGATATACCGATATAACGATACTAACGCAGTAAAGAAGACGGCGCATTGTACATATATATGTGTGACGCGGCAGCCGAGTCGAATAAACATCCGGAGAGAAGCTCGTATGTTTCCTCTATTGCCAAAGTTTTCCGCGTTCCCGCGCAAATAGGTCCTCGGATGGTCGGAGAGTTTTTTTTTTTGCTCTCGTCACCTATGATTTTCTCACATTTGACGCTTCACGAGCGTTTTTGTTGATTCGTTTGTTCATATCTACTCTGAGGCAACCGGACGTTTAAGCTGAAGCTGTACGGACACCGCGATAAGAGGAGCAAAGAAAAAAGGATGGAAAGAGAGAGGTGAGGAGTAGTGGCCGTAAAAGAGAGCGCGTGCAAAAGGAAAAACGGGGCCGAGGGAAAAGAGACGCGGGCCGATGGACTGTGTCCGGATCGCGATATTGCGGGCGGCCGTATAAATCATACAGCCGCTCAATGTTATCGGGCTCCTTCCAGTCGAGCGCGCGCTCTTGGTATATGTACAGCGGAGGAGCATATGTCGGCCACTGTCCACTCCATTTACTTTCAGCCGTGTAGTCATCCCTTTTTCTCTCGGATCGGCTGTCGTTATGTGCCTGTACATTGTGGATGTGCACGAGGAAGATGTATACGCTTTTGGGGATCGGTATAGAGGAGTCACACGTACGAGTCTCCCCTTGAAAGGATTATTGCGTGCTTTACTTGCTCCTGGTGCAGGTTAATGGTCACTTTTTTTGGTAAATACACCCATATGTATGTGTGAATGGATCGCATTGATACTATAAAACAATGAGACACCAATTTTTCATACAACATAACATTCATACCAAGGAATTTTCACAGTAAAACTCAAGTTGTGAAAAAAAAAAAAAAAAAAAAAAAAAAATTCAGTGAGAAGGCATCACTCTGAAATAATTGCCATTCACAGATACTAATATTTTTATCAAGCTGAAACTAGTAGCGTAAAATTATACGCGGTATACCGCCCTAATTGAGTGAAATAAAGAGATAATATTAAATACCTGTATGTATATATATATATATTTACACCCTAAGTAGAGTTGGCTGGTAGAATGAGGTTGGCGATGTTTTCATAGCCAAGATATAAATATATACAATGCACGAAGCGCAAAAAATAACATGTACATCAGTGTGCATTGTCTTGTTTATCATTACTTACTACTACTACTACATTACCGCTCCTCTATGGATTGCAAAAAAAAAAAAAAAAAAAAAAAAAAAAAAAGAGTTCAAAAAACACGAATCGTAAGTATATACACGCACAAAACTATTCCAATGAATTCTCGTTAGCGTCGAATGGCTGAGAACCCGCGGCTGCAATTTACGCGATGTTACTTAAAAAAATTGACCCCTCCCTCCCTCTGGTTGTGTATACACATAGTCACTCTTGATTTTGGCATGCATGGATCATCGAAACTATCTTTGCATCGCATCATCAGCCCCTGCATATGGTATATATATACTTACGCAAAGCGCGGCTTCTCTGGGCTGATTTCGTCCGCGAAAAACGTCGAGCAGCCCGGCGGGAAGGGACAAAAGGAGCCACCGCTGCACGTCCCAAAGGACACAACTCGAGCGCCTCTTCTTTCATTGTCATCGCATGTACACACACACGCGCGGACCGGCGCAGGAAATCCAAACCGGCAGCAAGATGGCAGCTTCGGAAACGGAAGTCGGAAGTGCGTCACTCAAACTCTGACCCTCGCGCGACTGCATCCACCGTCCGAACATCGGGAAGGAAAAAAAAAAAAAAAAAGAGAGCTCGGGAAGATGGGTGTGCTGGACACGGGGATTTTCACCCTCGGTGGGCGCTGTCGAGTTGTTTGCGAGGAGGGGAGCTCTGCCCCGTTGTATGAGCTCTCGGGCTCGAGTAATTGTCGTATGTATATAAGTACATACGAGGGGTGCCCGCGTGTTTTTTAAGGCGGCCACTGCCTCGACTCGCACATTTGATTTTTAAGTGTTACAAAATTGTTTTGTTTTTTTTTTCTCTTTTCTCTTTACTCTTTTCTCTCCAACTGGTTTTACACGGTATATATGGGACGGGCAGGATAAATAATTTTCACACGTTATTTTCATTATTTATATCATCGATTTTTATTCATTAAATACGCATTTTTCATATATTAGTTCAAATGTGATGATGTATTTACAATACGCAATTTACACTATATACAAGTCGCTCCCTACCAAATAACAAATATATGTTTTGTGTACATGTATACATATATATATATATACGTATCATGTATGTATAATCTATATACGTTGTGATAACCGGTGTGCCATTAATTTACTTTTCACTGATTCACAATACGGCAATTCCCGTCACGTGCTCGAACGCTGTGGAATTGCTTTTGTTTTTCTATAACGTGATGAAATTCAACTAAGTATTTACAATACCGGTTTTCCTTCCTCGAACGGCTTTCGTATATCTTTGGTGTCATCGTTGAACATATTACATGGGAATGTGAATACGAAAGCGTGCATCTATACGATGAAAACCGTTTTTTCTATTTTTCCGCTCTATACTGTTACTATGATTCTTTTTTTTTTGTTTTTTTTTTTATCATCATCACGCGTNAATATATATGTGTTAATCAGTATGGAAAAAATTTAGTGTGCCTCCTTCGTACATCTTGTACTATCGAGGGTACAAAATAAATATATTTTTATAGGAAAACGGTATTGAGTGATCGGCGCTTGTGTTGAACAGCTAATTGTTTTTTTTTTTTTTTTTTTTTTTTTTTTTTTTTTTTTTTTTTATTTTTTTTTTTTTTTTATTTGTATTTACTTTATATATGCCTTCTCTGCGAGCCATCATATTTTACAATATATTTTACAATAACATTGCCATTCGTCGATGCACAGACGCACACTGACTTGAAATTTTTTTTTTTTATACTATACGTATCGTAAGGGCTCTCGCGTCAAAGACTATCGATATGAATATTTATGTGCCTACATTGTGCTACATACTTTTCGATAAACCAAAAATACATTTTCTTACCCGTGGGCCCAATATGTTTGCGACCCGGCAAGGAAAAACGTCGTTCACACCTTGGGTACAAACATATATAAAAAAAACGGGAGGGATTATTTTACTTTGCGCCCATAATATATGGCACGGAATCTACTAATTTTCTATTTTTTTCCTTTTCATCAGCCTATAAAATACAGAAAATTACAACGCGACGGCTAAAGTGATGAAAACTATGGATGACAACTTTTTCGTCCGGATATCGTATAAGAAAACTCGCTTTCCAGCCTAAGATTAAAACCATGATATACACATATACATTAATTTTTTTTCTTCTAATATTGCCTGTATAGCGCCTCGATCTCCGCGTAACGATGGAAATCGGCCCTAAAAATCGTTATATCTCAAATCACCTTGTGCCAAACGAACTGTCGAAGGAACACATCTTTTCACGCACACCCCTAATTGCATGTTCATTGATGAGCAAAGAAAAAAAAAAAAAAAAAAAACCACCTTCACTAAAACAAATTACATACTCTTTGGCTTAGCCTTATGTTACACACTTATATAGACTTGGCATTAAAAGTCATCGAGGGGTAAAAGAAAGACGGGAGTATTAATATGTAGTGCCCTAGTGCCTATGAAATATGTATATATACAGTATAGCACCAAACACACGCAGTCACCACGGGCTTGCAAACCAGTGCACGTATATAATATAGACACACATCACCACCTATAGGTAAAAATCTCTCTCTCTCTTTCTCTAGAAAGCATCAGTAACAACAACAGCAACAACAACGAGAAGAAGAAGGAGGAGGAGGAGGACAACGCGAGGGAAAAAATTGACTGTTCCTTCAAGCTGACACTCATATATATAATATACATGCACGCACGCACACACAAACGGACCTCCTTGGTATCACCGGTATATGTTGTATTAATAATATTAAAACACTGCACGTTCAATAAAAGCCCCAGTAGGGCTTTTGCATGTACGAGTGCATGGGCAACTGGCCATTAAGTCCCGCGTAGGCCCCGGGCGCGGACACCGCAACGTTGGCCCCGGGCTCGAGCAGCTTCGATTGGCACGGCTTGCCATCCTTGACCAAAACCGGCACGGCCACCCGCCTCGGGGAACAATCCAACCTCGGGCCACCATTACCAGCCTCGACCCGCTCGCTCGCCGCCCGCTTCGTCTTGTACCTGTGGTTCTGGAACCAGATCTTCACCTGCGTGGGCGTCAGCCGGATTATCGAGGCCAAGTGCTCGCGCTCCGGGGCGCTCAGGTACCGCTGCTGCCGGAACCTCCGCTCGAGCTCGTACGTCTGGGCCTTGGAGAACAGGACGCGCCGCTTGCGCTTTTTCCCCCCACTTTGCTCGACCCGGTCCACCTCCTCCTCCTCAACCTCCTCCCGCCAACGCTTACCACCACCACCACCACCACCACCCTCGTTGCTACTCATCAGCACGTTGTTGTTGTTGGTGGTGGGGTCTTTGGGGCGCCTCTTGTGCTCGTCGTCCGCCTCGTCGTCCTCGTCGTCGTCGTCCTCGTCCTCGTCGTACTCGGCGTCTATGGGGGACTCGGGCGGCTCGTCCTCCTCCTTGGACCCGTGGACGCTGTGCTCGCGCTGCGACGGGTACGACAGGTCAGAGATGGCCGGGCTCGTCGAGTCGGGCTGCTGGAGCACTGCAACAACCAACAACAAACATACAATACATCATTGGTGTTACTTTTTTTCTTTTTTTTTTTTGTTGTCCCTCGACGAGGGACTTTTGTACTTTCTCACGCGGCGATTCCGGGGCTCGTGTATATTTTGCCACGGCGTTTATTCCACGTTTGTGGGATCTTTCTACTAGTATACTCTGGTTTGTCATCTTACGCTGCGAAAATTGTGATTTACACCACCTTCCAACCATATATATATATATGTATATATGTATATTTGCGAGGGGGGGAATCTTCAGGAGCGAGGAGCGTGCAACTGTAACGACGATTATACGTATAGAGAAGCGCAAGTCACGATGGCTCTTCTCGGTTTGACCCATAATGTGGGACTCGATGATTCGCAGTATATTGACACCGTATGGGTATATATATATATATATATATGTGTTATCTTATGGAGTATCTTTTTCGAAAATATATGGATATGTGCTGTACGAACTCATTTTAGGCTACAATAAGTATATAGAGAGTCGGATGTTGAGCTCCGGAAATGACCAGTATGTGCTTTAAATAAAAGCGCGAGAGACGGTGGGGCTTGGTCCCATATGGGTGCAGTATGACAACGTGGGATGTGTTGCGCGAGGAGTGGGTACTTTTTTCATTAGGCCGCGTGTCCGTTGGGCTAATGGGAGCACTGGAGAACTACTCGAAAACTTTTTGCGAGCTGGTTCGCGCACACGGCAATGACAATCGATCTAATACACGTCTCCTCTCCCTCTTGCGTAACGACCTATCGCGTGAGCCGTATACTCTGTTATATATACCTGATGCTCGTTTCTCGCTATCTCTTCTTGTGCCCTTTTCTTTGGGTGTGCCTTTTTTTCCCCCTTTCCTCTCTCCTGTGCTGTCGAGCTGTCATCGATTTTTCGAGGTCACGCGCCAAAGTTCAAAGCCTTCCAAACTATTATGACGCTGCCGTTGGGTGTTTGGATTTTTGACAAGGAGGCGCACGGAGCTTGGGGGGATGATGTTGTTCACACGTTCGTGGCACAGCAGTTTTCTTTTGCCTTGAAAGCTGATTGGTTTCGTACACGTGTTTTGAACCATGTTTTTTTTTTTTTTATTTATTTATTTTTTTTTATCAAATATATCGCGGTAGTGAATTCGTAAGGCCTGTACCGTAATCAACAAAATGACTCTAGAGGGTAAAGGCATTTCTGCGAGCTTGCAAGTTCTCTAGCGTCCCATGTTCATTGTTTTTCATGATTGCCCGCATTGCTGTTGCATTGGCGTAAACCAACATTGTACAAACGATAAATATGTTTTACACGCTGTAAATTCGAGTGTGTTGAAGTACACGTTTTGAGCGTACAGTTGAAATTTTGGTTTTTTTTTTTTTTTTATTCATTTAAAAAATACATCGCAGTTGTGTTGATAAAACTTTGGAAAGCAGCTGAATCTATAGGGTACCAAGTTAACCAATTCTACCAAACTGTACACTTTCGAACAGGAAACCCTTGTGTATACGAAGGCTATACAGTGGAGTGAAAAAAAAACAATACAGAAATGTTTTACCCTTTCCAGCCTCATTACGTCAATCGTTGAAGAAACACAAAATTATTTCGTTTATGTACCTACTACTGTAACGCATTTATTATAAAAAAAAAAAAAACCGAAATTTCAACTACAAGGATTATTCGTGTAATCACCGAGGGGCACACGCGCAGGACGAAAACCAAGCATCTGCCCGGCGACTTTGGATTTTCAATCGGGAAAAGCGAAGAAAGTATAGTCCTTGCGGGAGTTTTCGAGTCCCCGCCCCCCTCACCTCTTCTGGCCCGAGGGGTCGATGACGCGGCTGAAACAAAACGAGACTCCCGGAGGCGCCGAGACAACGACTGCAGCTGTAATCGCGTCTATTAGCCTCCAAAGGGGCAGATGCGGTTGTTCTCTTTTTTTTTTCCTAAAGTAAGTATGTCTCACTCGGCCCTCTAATGGTGGGTTCGGTTGCAATTTACGATACGTAGACTCGGACTGCGACGTTTGGAGCTAGATAAAAGTTCTCTATTTCATTTTTTTTAAACACTCTCGTTTCAACAGTACAGTTGCATGTCCCCGTATACGATTTGTACTCGAAATTCTTTAACCCGGCCCCGACACATTGAAATTCACCAGATAATGGACTCGGAAAATCTCACCTTGGAGGACTCGCATACAGGAAAATCAAAGGACGCGTCAATGGGCGTATTACGATGGAGCTCATTGTGCCCCCGGTACATATTACATGGTGAATCTATCAGCGTTTAGGGTACAAAAAGCATTATTTTTTTCCTCCATTCCTTTTCCGACTGTCAATCGTTTGTAGAGCGCTACTGTATGTAAGTATCGTATTGTAATGCAGGGACGAAAAAGCCCCTCGCGCTCGATCCTTGTATATACCTTTCTTCCTCGGCATATATAATACGTACACGTGTGTGCGTGTTTGAATGCATATCGGGCGAGGCGCGTTTTACTTGCCATATGGGTACATGTACAGCGTGGAAAAAATAGAGGACGAGCCTTATACGTACGCACACAAGGGGAAAACATGCGAGAGTGACACTGCGAGTGTGTGGTTTTGTGCAAGTGAAAGGCATGCACGTATACATAATATATATGTGTTAATCAGTATGGAAAAAATTTAGTGTGCCTCCTTCGTACATCTTGTACTATCGAGGGTACAAAATAAATATATTTTTATAGGAAAACGGTATTGAGTGATCGGCGCTTGTGTTGAACAGCTAATTGTTTTTTTTTTTTTTTTTTTTTACATTTATTTTGTCTTTAATCGAGATTTTTTATTTTTTTATTTTGAAGGATACCCGAAAGAGCTAGGTTTCAAAGTATACATGTAGAAAAACGTGAACTTGTCCGAGTTCAGAGAGAATAAAACAGACAAAGTTAATCTCAACTCTAATAAAGACATGCAAGCCCCAAACAACTTGTGCCCGAATAACACGAGAGGAGACGTCGTCACCCCCGAAAGAAAAAAAAAGTATATCCCAAGGGTCGGCATCAATTCGTATCCCCATGTAATATACATCCCACCTACGCTTGTGTACACATGCATGTATATTAAGTTTGTTCGCGCTTACAAGGGCGCGTGGCCTGGCTTGTATACGGGAGAGGGTGGTGTGGATGGTGTCGAGCCAATACAAAGCCCATTTGGTCCCGTGTGATCACAGCGTGTAGGGAGAAACGCGTGTAAATGCACGCATAAAACGCCCACGTTTGATATTTGTACGGGCGCGCGTTTATTTTTATCTCGTGGTTAAAGCTATATATACGCGCCATTTGTTGCGCGGGTACGTACCAATTGTCGTTGTTTCAATTAAGTAGTCGTCACCGACGGGCCCAGCCAGAGAGCTTTTAATACACGTATATATGTATAAACCCCTCGCAAATGACTTGGGGTGTAATTGGTAATATATGTGTGGCTATATACTTGTTGAAGCTTCGTTTGATCCTTGGGGGCGCTTGTCGATTGGTATATATGGCTCAGTGAAAAGTTTTCATCCACACGATTTACAGTTTCGAGCATCGCGATCGTTTCGTTGAAGCAAACGTATGGTTGACGCGTATATACTGATAAAAAACACCCCCACCCCCGTTGGTTTTTAGACTTAAATAGAGGGAGGGATGGATGGTAGGCGAGATCTATACAGTCATTTTTACACAGCGAAGCAAAGTTGTGATTGTAATATCCTCTATGATGTGATTATCATGGGAAATGTATTTTCGGTTATTCAGTTGACAGACCGTGTACTGAGCCAAAGCCAAGCGATTCTTCACTGCTCTTGTATATATATATTTGGTCAGTACTGCGCGCACAACTGTCCATGCATCGGAACAAAAAGTCCAATCAACCCATCGGGGAAAGAAAACGAGGGAGCGAAAAAAAAAAAAAAAAAAAAATTAAAAGCCGTAATCTGTATTAGCGCACTCCAGCGTTAAACGACGCAATCGGTTGTACATAAGTTGCATTCGACGCGTAGTAAAACTGCATTAGAATTTCGTTGTCCACACACGCGCGTGTTTCCCCCAATTTGTTTTTTTTTTTTTTTTTTTTCCACCCAAAGTGCAGGTAAATCCCGCAACCGACACACGTTTGGCTGTACAGTACACTCGTACAAAAGAACAACAAAACGAAAAAAAAAAAGAAAAAAAAAAAAAAAGAGTGGCACATACCCAAAATGGTCGATGCTCCCCCAGAGGACACGTAATGTACCTACATGGGCGTGACAATCGCATTGAGAGCGCAAAAACGATTCACCGCAGACCCGCTCGTTGTAAGATTCTCCCCCCCCCCCCTCGTATACAGATTTCGTATCTGTATATATAATACCTGTATATATACGCGCATCTGTCTCTCCCGTCGGTGCGACTGCACGGTGCCGTTGCATCTGTCCGAGGAGAGGACCAATGGCACGAGAGGAGACCTCGTCTCTCCTTTTTGACACCATTAGATCCTGCTTAAGGGTAGAGAGAGAGAGAGCGCTCGCTCGCGCCAATAGGTCGGGGTGCTAAATAAATAAAGGGCAGTGGGGAGCAAGATACAGCGGGGCGTGATGGTTCCTGTGCGCACACATCGAGGGCCGCCGCCTCGTGCGCGTATAATGGCCCGAAGGAGAGGAGATACGCTGGTTTTGTCCATCGAGTGATTTATTAACGGTAACGAGGGTATATAGGTATACATGTAGGTATGTGTACCAGAGAAAAGATCGGCGTACCTATCTGCGTATGAAATATATTACGGTAACGGATTTGCGCGAGGAGCCGGTACCGCCTTTTTTGTTACCGAGGATTTCGAGCTGGAGTACCAATGTTACACCGCCACTCTGGTGTGTCGAGTACATCCACGCATACACGAGAGAGAAGGATTGAGAAAACGTAAGCCTGTACTGTCACAGCGTATATATAGGTACTTATATGTATGAACGAGGGGGGCTCGGGGGAGGAGCTGCATGCACTCGTCGTCCTCTCGAGAAAAAGAGAGAGAGAGAGAGAGAGACGGGAGGAGCACACGCGCGAGAGATCGGGTTCGTTTTCATTTTTTGCCGCACTACGGAATAATTGTATACGTCCCGCCGCGAGGATTATTATTTCGTCAACTTGTGCGCGATACACAGGATCATCAAGGGATGCACGACTAAGCGAGTATTGTTGACGTTGCGGGGCAAGTTCAATTGAAGACTCTCACCAGCTTCGAGGGAAACTTTGTTTCACGAGTCTTGTTCCTCTGTGTACGCGTAAAGGGACTTGGTCGAAATAAAATGGCCACTGTGAAACAATTGCACGGGAAAAAAAAAAAAAAAAAAAAAAACTGTTGCTTGACTCAACCATAAAATATTGTTGCTGTACAACCAACTCATAATTGTTCAACCAAACGGAAACTCAGCCATAAGTATAAGTAACATTTGTTAGACCACGTGGTACAACCACGTATATGGTCTCAAATTTTAATTTATAGAGAGTATAATATACAAAACGCAAAAGTATACAATTTAATTTACAAAAATAGATTGACCTTTGAGGTTGAGAGAAAATTAATCAATGTAAAACAATAATGTATGAAAAATAAAAAATGAAATCAAAAATAAAAGGTACAAAAAAAAAAAAAAAAAAAAAAAAAAATTAAAGTAAAGTGATAGCAAAGTCGGTAGCATGTATTAGTTTAAATTTATATGAATCCAAAGTAGAGTTTCAGATCAGATCAAGAAGAAGAAAGGGCCTGCGGGGGATAAACTGCATTCAAAACTCNAAAAAAAAAAAAAAAATTAAAGTAAAGTGATAGCAAAGTCGGTAGCATGTATTAGTTTAAATTTATATGAATCCAAAGTAGAGTTTCAGATCAGATCAAGAAGAAGAAAGGGCCTGCGGGGGATAAACTGCATTCAAAACTCCGGTTATTCTTAATAAGAATAAGGCACGCTTGGAACTATGTATTTAAGTGATGATTCAAAAACATTCCGATGGATTTGAATCACGAGCTTTGACGAGTGAACAAGAAAAGAGTGTCCAAACACTTCTGACCGGAAAGTGGGGCAAAGCAAATACTGCGCTGGTAGGCGAGATATAAATCACAATTAACTATATATATTATTCATATGATTTTACGCGCAAGTTCGAAAATTAAAAAGCAAAAGCCAATCCTCACCGTTGACCTCGTCGAGGGGCTGAGGGAGGCTGGTGGGCTGGTGCCAGCCCAATAGCCCGGCGGCCGTCGAGGGACCCAAGGGCCCGCCGTTCGTTGGCAGAGCGCGACCGAGGCCAAAGCCCCCCGGCCCGTGATGCAAAGGCCCCACTCCCGGGGCACTGCCCACCGGCTGGAGCATGGCCGTCGTGTGCTCCAGCAGCTGCTGGTACGTCGACGGCACCTCGTTCGCCGGCGCCGGCAACACCGTCGTCTGACCTACGGACCAAAGATTATATTCTTTAATAAACATACCATCAACCAAATGGTCAAACCATCCAATGGGTAAACGAGAGCCGTACACTCACCTTGGACATCCGCTTCCTCGGCGCTCGGCTTGGCGTCGTTCAGCTCCAGTATGTCGCTTATGTGGAAACCCGAGATCCGCGTCGGCATCTTCATGCTCTCGAGCAACCTGCCAGCAAAACACACAATCATCGTTATACACGAGCAATACGAACGTATGGCACGGTTAACATAGCCCCGCGACCGGAAGCGCTTCCTTTTATCCCTCCTCGAAAAATGTCACTCGAAGAAGGTGGAGGAGGAAGAAAGAAGAAAGAGAGTATGTGTAGGGTGGGGTAGCATCGGGGGCGACGATTAAACGGGCGGGTCCCAGGGGAGCGCGAGGAAAAACGGGGGACCCCACGCGGCGCACCTGCCCGCTCGCCGTCGGCGGTCCCTCGCTAAATACACACAGAGAGGAAGAGATGGGCGATCGAGAGTGCACAGGTTGGCGAGAGAGGAAGGAAGGACCGGAGGTGCCTTTGAATGTCCCGTCCGTGTGTATAAGCTCGAGGGGCCATTATCGCGTCACGTACGGCGTTTTTCCACCACCGCCGCGCGCGTCCCCTTCCCGGAGGCGAGCATAAGAGAGGGGAACGCGTTTACTTGGAATTTCTGGCGAAAGCCGGCCGGCTCTTGAGTCAAGGAGGGACTTGTGTGGTTGAATCCGAGTCGCGCGCCCGTTGTTTCCGGGCCAACGTTTTGCCGACGAAAATCACGAGGAATTATATACCTTTTTCAAGAGATTACGTGACGGCTCTTGCTTCGGCAAAAAGTATATGTGTGTACACAATACGTGGAACGTTGGCCATTTTAAAAAGGAGGAAAAGGAAAAGGAAAAAAAAAAAAAAGGTCCCCGGGATGCAATTATGCGCGATGGTCGGACGAGCGCGTGAACCGCAAAATAAACAAGATTGGGGAAACGCGCACCTTGCGCGTACACTCTCGGAAGGGAGAAAAGACGGATGCCTACCGTATATTTCCGAAAAAAGGGCCGCTCGCATCAGGGATTAAGCCGCGGGTGGTGCAAGGTACTTAGAAGTAAGTGTATTCCGCAGAGGTGCGAGACGAAAATCTTGGGACGAAGGGCGCGTGGGAATGTTGGCTTGTTAAGTGGCTGCGAGGAAGGTTAAGTGGGCTCGTACCCTCCATGTATATATATACATATACGTATAGTCAGCGGATTATCCTCGGGAGCTGCCGTTGCGGCTTACGCTCGCACTGTCCTCCTTACGGTCCCTTAACTTTACTTTCTTTCTCTTTTTTTCTAATTGGCTCGGCTGAAACGCCACTTTTGCCTTTAGCACCGATCGCGCGCGCGAGAGAGGGTGCACGGGATAGCGCGACGAGGGCCACAATTTAAACCGTAGCTTTACTCGGGCGCGTGAAAGCAAAAGCCTCGTCTTACAGGCCATCATCAATAACGTACGGAAATATATTCAATACAATTAGCATTTCGATAGCGCACACGTAAATTCTTCGACGGGCGATTTCAGCCGATGATCGGTAGTGTATATATATATATATATATATATATGTATATAAATTATTCAACCATTCAATGTTGAGTCCCTGGATTCGTTGTTAAGTTTTTGCTGCTTTTTGACTATTTCATTATCGGGCTCAATTACCATTTTTAAAGCCCTCTTTCCCGTGAAGACCTTCCGTTTTGGGTATACCATATCATTTATATTACCATTGTTATTTATTTGAGTAACAAACTTTGGTTGAGTATTAATTGTTGCGCATGGCGCAGTTAGAAAAGGCGTATAATTTAATGGTCCAAGCCCACCTCGATCGGGCTTGAGACACGTCTCAAGTGTTTTTTCTACTGCCAAGTTGTAAACATCACCATCAACGTCTCTCGATTGAGACATTGGTTTATGGTGAAATTTATGAGACTCATTGTTGTTATTTATAATGGGATATGGTGAAAATCGTCGTCCCTTGGCCGATGTCGAGGTATTTTTTCTCCAGCTGTTTGCAAAACGTTTTGAGATTTCGGGTACGTTTTTGTGAACCAAATTTAGTAAATTCCAAGCGGGTGAGTTAAAGTTTATTTCCTCATCAATTGATTGATGTGGGTTAAAGTTTTTTTTTACAGAAAAAATGTGGCTGGCTTCTACGTGGCGGTGCGTCAGCAAGTAGTGGATCAATCTAGTTTTGTCATTATTATTTTCTATGAGATAATTGTCAAAGGCTTTCTCTTCTTCCGGGTTTAAGGGAAGTTGCAAAATTTTTCTGAGCTTTCCATGTTTTTCACATGAGTGGAAGAAACTCGTGAGTAACGGTCCGCAATCCGATTGCGGTCGTGCATGGAATGCTAACAGTAGATGACCCTGTTCCACCGCCAGATCGATCATTATGCGCCGATGATCGGACGATATCACTGGTGGTTTAATAATGAGCAGATAATTTAGAGCTGGTAAAAAAGAAATGATGAAAAAAAATTAATTGACAGCTTGCGAATGTATGTTACATATTTTTAAAATTTGAAAACGTACCTAATTTGTGTTGATTGTTTTTTAAAAGTGAATTTATAGCGAGTTCATGCTGCCAGTCTTCGATGTCATTGCTGGAAACAATTTGGCTTGTCATGATGTTGAAAAAGCCATCGTAATCCTCGTGATCGAGAAGCCAAAAAGCTCGGATGAGTTTAATAATACTAGGACTCAACTTAAAAGCTGCGGGATACTTCATAAGTTGATCGACTGCTGAATTTGAGTCTTTGAGAATCATGCACAGGTCCATGAGCAAGTAGAAGACGATGCAGTGTTTAGTGTACGTTTCAGGTAATTGACCATCTTCATCCTCCTCTTCGTCACTTTTTTCTTCGCAATAGCAGTCAGTTAAAAAACTCCTAAGCAAAGACTGCAGCGATGGAGGAGGATAAAGACCATCTTGACTAGGACACTCACTGTCTGACTCTTCTTTCCATTGCACTTTGAGCGGTGAACAATTTCTGGCAATCAATTGATCAATGAATAAAACATCATTTTCCTTATTTTCCTTGGTACAAGCGTCTCGTCTTTTTTTCTTGTAAGACTCTACAAGTTTATTTCTTGGATACTGAATTTTCGTAAGCGCTGAAATTTGCACGTCATCGCTTTCGTCGATGTTTTGCATTTCCGGCAACAGACCGACATCATTAAACCACAACACAACTTGAAAATAGGCTGCTATTTTTTTAAGGGCCCTTTTATGTTTAGTTGAATCGTATTCAGTATTGGGTAATTTTGATATAACGGTCTTCAAACATTCGAGTTGCTGAACACAGTGATGTAACGTTTTCAACTCAGACTCGTCTATATTGACACCCGACTGATCAAACAACGGCTTGCACAAACGATCGGCCATCAACTTGATTTGAGATCCACGTTGGATACTCCACCTCAGAAATTTTAAGTATAGATACTCTGCACTGCCATCCGACCACTCTATGGCACAGCGCAATAAGAAATTGGCCCACCGTTGATCTAGGCATAACGACAGCAGCATTTCTCGAGCTACTTTTTGTTCTACTCTTACACTATAATCTTGAACGGTGAAATCAAAAGGCACAAGCCCTGCAAGAAGACACCTACGGTAGGTTTCATTAGGCATGATTAGTACAATGGGTCCAGCTGTGGTTATCTCTCGCAGTAGCTCTGACTGCACCCCTCGAGTCAACCAGAACACTACATTTTTCTCCGATAAATTCATCCACTCCAAACTCAAAGAACGAGGGTAAAAAAATACCTCTGGAGAGTGTGAAACATTCTTTGCAAACTCTCGCAATGTCTTTGGCTTATAAGAACAACATATTATTTCTTCGCGAGAAGGTTTCTCTTGTCGCGCTTTGTAACAAGCCAAAATATTATTAGGGTTTCGGCATCCAGCAACTGTAGATGGCATTTGTTCTTCGTACCATCTATTTAAATCGAAAAGCAGGGATCTCTCTTGGGTCCCGATGAGTAATAAGGACTCCTCGCCTCGACGGAACCGTAAATCCGATGCGTCGCGATTGACTCGTTCGATTGAAACGAGACTGTGGACTTTTTCATTTTTTTCTAGTTCGATCTCAAATCTTAGACTTGGGTCTGGCTTCAAGTTAAAATATAAAGTCGGGTTTTCACCAAACTCATCGTCTCTCTTGTTTTTAAACATTAACACATACATGCGTAACACTGTTACTGAATCTGGTGTACTACCCTAAAAACATGTATTTTAAAATTAATATGTGAATATCGAGTTACATAATTGAAGGAGAAAAAAAGATGTTTACCTGATAAGCGGCCCACATAAAGCAATAGGGCTTGGGATCGTCGGCGGGTTCAAGAAGTACTGCATGAGTGATAAATGCGTACTTGTCAAGAAGTGGACTTATCCAACTTAAAGATCCATTAAACTCCCAGATCATAATACGACCTAAGCAACCACTTATCAAACAGCCAATTTTTGTAGAACAGTGCAGGACAGTGCATAGTTTTTCGTTGAACAGTGCAGTAGCCTCAAATTCTTTTCTATTGAACCTAATATGCTGTTCAGTTTCTAAAATCACAACATATCATTTTGACAATCACCAATACAGTTATGTGCGAGAAAAAAAAGTTAAAAATTTACCTTTACTTATCAAATTGTATGCTGAAAAGAATAATTCTACTTCATTACTTGTTGAAGGTTCTAGCTCATTACTTTCTGAAGGTTCTACTTCATTACTTTTTGAAGGTTGTACTGCAGGTGAAGAATTAACAAATTCTAAACAGGCTACAATAGGCTTATCACTGTAAGATGACTTAGACCATAAATCTCTATTAAGATCAACTATCAAGTGCTGTAAGTTTCTGAGTGACACAAAGATTAATCCACTATTTTCTGGAAAAACTAAGTCTCGATTTTCTTCATTAAAATTTTCCCAGTCGGCCCCACCGTACATCACACACGCTTGTTCAACACCAGCTGGTACCTTTAAAAATAATTAGTATCCCATTAAAGCTAAAACCATCTACTATGAGATAAAACTAGTACATGGCACTGAAAACAAATAATACTCACTAGAATAGTACATAAAATTTTAGAAATGCAACAATCAAAAACACACAATTGCCCAACGGAATCTTGAATTCTAATAGCGTTATTGTCGAGCCCCAC